ATTTTTATTTGCAATTTTAATTTAATCGACATCTGAAATTAATTTTGTAATCAGTATGGCCCAAACCACTGCTACTTGTAGATTATTTTCTTATGGATATAAATTACTATGTTAAACGATTAATTGTTCATTTGAAATGTTGTGAAAATTATATCTTAACGTATAATAGCCGATTAACAATAGATCCTGAAAAAATATGTAGTGATTGTATTATGCAGGTACAGGAAACTTGCAAACATGTATTTCTTCATTGTGTTAAAGTTATACAGTTGTCCCTTGATAGTCCGGCGTTTTTTAATCCGACATGCTCAGTAGTCCGACACACCTCCCGTCAAGGTACCCGTCCCCGTTACGTGTCTGCTTGCACAGAAGCATGTCGCGACGTCAATCTCCCCACTCAATTCTTACACGATGACACACATTTCGCGTGTTTTCCGTGAGCAGTTCAGTTCGAACAGTTGGAGTAGGAAATATTGTAGACTACTACTAGCAAAACAATGCCAAATATGTAATCACTTTCAGTAATCCGGACACTTTTGGTAATCCGACGCCCCTTTGGTCCCATACCTGTCGGATTATCAAGAGATAGCTGTAGTTAGTTAGGACAAGTATTTCGTAAAGTTACTAACTTAGAGACATTTTGTTATTATAACTTGCTTTTCAAATACTCTTATTCTGCATTTTATTTCCTGTTATTTTTACTAAATTATTTACTTCTTAAATAATATCAGTAATTTTTGTTGCTTTTAAACAAACCCCTTGTAACGTACTTAGGTACATATAAATTAACACACGGTTCTTGTAATTTTATTCTATTGTAAGTAAATCTAATGAATAATTATTCGATTTAAACTAAATATGCAATTTCCCAATTGTCCTAACTTTCTTCTGTGAGCAGATGCAAACCTTGAAACTTGTCCAAACGGAAAACTTTAAAATATCGAACCTGAAGCATTTTATAATAATTAAAACGTTTTGTAAAAAATAATGGAAATAAGTATTAATTAAAAATCGACTGTTTCTAAAGTATATTAAAAATTACAATTAAATTTTTTCAAACTCTCATTAATAATAAAGACATGCCGATTCTATTCTTGAACTAAAAAATGTATAATCGTTTTGTTGGTACAGCATTATTTTAATTTATAAAGTAAATATTTTCTTTGAAATAAATATATTTTAAAAATGCTCTGTTTAAACAGAGAAATTTTCTACAATTCTTACGAATAATAATTAAAGTGAAAGATGATTTACGACTAAAATGCAGCCATTTTCGATTTCAAAACGAGTTTGCGTGATAAAACACGATTAGGGAAAATCAAGTCCTGTTTCTACTAGAAGACAATTTAAAAACAATGAAGTAGAAAATTTTCCTCACGTTAGTTTTCAATAATGTAAAAGTTTTGGAGGTTCTTGTTTGCCTCATCGGCATACGTTTCCTCTGTTATGTATAACTGCAGAAATACGAAAAATCGGGAAAAATTTAGTTATATGTAAATAATTTAGAGTTTTATCCTTCACTTGTATAACTAACTTGAATCGTTATTTAAAAATAAAAATTGAAATGACACTTAACTTCAAAACAGGTTTTTAGCGTGCCAAACCATAAATTAAAAGTTACATTTGAAAAGGAGGAAATAATTCTATACTGGAAAACTTTCTTTTGATAGAGGAGAATAATACTTTCTCCATGTTTAAATAAAGGAGTTTAAAATAGTAAACGTTCGATTAAAAATTTATAAAGTTAATATTGAGGCATGCATATTCTAAAACGTTCAGTATACAAATAAATGCTTATTATTGCATAAAAAATTGTAAATGTTAGACGATAGAATTTGTTTGTTTGTGACTATGATAAATGCAACGTAATTATGCAATAAATCCAGTGCTGTGTGTCCACTGAACATTATCGCAGTTAATACAACTTTCTACCCAATTTTCGTACGATAATTATATAAAAACCATCGAATAGTTATTGTGACGTCGTCCTAATTCCATGCTGCAATTTTATTCATATTTCATATTAGCGAATTTACTTACAAAACGAGTAGTGATATAAATTATTGAAATTATTAAAGCTCGAGATGACGCGAGTATTACACACCTTATGTATTTTAGTATCAAAGTATCAGGTCCAAATATCATACGGATCAGTTTTACCAAAAATTACGCTTCATATAAAAAGTCAGCATCTTACAATTAAAACAGCTTGACTTTCGGTTCAAATCCGAAGTATTTGAATAGTTATCAAAGGCTTTAGTCCCCTAATCCGTCAGCACGTGGAAAGAAGGACAACAGTGGAATATGCAGGCTTGAAATTTAAATCTCAGCCAAATAACATTTATTTTTCTAAAAATTAATTCTGTGATTAATTTTAAACTAATTATAAATTATCGTACGAACGGAATTAAGAATATAAAGGTGTTATTAAAATGGCATTTAATAAGAGTTCGAGGAAAAACCTTTTAAAATTTAATGCCATAAAAAACATTGCGTGGAAGGTTACCACGAAACTACGTCATCTACGAGTAATTTTATTGTTGCTGAACACAGTATAAGTTCCACTTGAGAGAGTCACACACGTGTGTAGAATGCTATTGTTTTAATTCTTTGTAATACCGGTAGTAAAATTATTCGGTAAGTAATAATTAATATATCGATTGCTATATATTTAAATTAATATTTTACATGAAAAAATATATATCGAGTAGTAATATAATAGACTTTCTTTAGTGTAATTAGTGTGATATTGTTCGATATTTACTTGTTTTTGTGCTATAACTGCGGAAAAACCTCAAGTCCGCACCTAATGAGGCAATTATTTTCGCTTTGACGTTGTTGTAGGGTTAGTATGCCTGAAGAGAGAAAATAGTTAACCCTTTATCAGGGATGACCAAGTGGCACTCTACTATGCGGGTGGTGTGGTAGGAGGCAGAAAATACAAAAGTTTCTTACAAAACCATTTATTAATACAAAAGTTTCTTACACGGATAAAAAGAGTATTTGCTGGATGAAAAAAACATTTATCAAATGTCCCGAACGTCGAATGTACTGATTTTCTATGCAAGTTTCGTCCGTCGGGCGACCCCGGGGCAGCGACGAGTTAATGGCTGATGGAGATTTCCTAGTACACGCCGAAACTTCGTCGAACTCATTTCTTTTGACGACGACACTCGGAGGAATGAGGTGACTAAAATGAAAATATCCGCTGCATGTCTTTGTACTTCTGAGTTTTTATATAATTTTTATCCTTATATATAATATCAATTGTTAGATTCCTCTTTTCTGCTCCTTCAATTTGTCACTAACCAAAATTGAGATCAGTTCTAAAATCAAGAGTCATAGGGATAGTCTAGCATCATCTCGACTCTGACCGAGATTACCGACAGAATTAAGACACTTGCGCTACTACTGTACTTTCTATTGTCAATCACTTTTATTGAGTTCTAAAATTATAAACAGTTCCCTTTTTCTACTATTTTTGTTTATTAATTTCTTCTCTTTTTTTCGGTTGTACAGTACATGAAAAAGGTTATAAAAGTTCGGGTGCACAGCCGGAGAGATGTATCATTATAATTAAAAAAAATTGTTTAAGCAAAGTAGTAAATTTTTCAAGATTGCCTTTGTTATTATAACTTTTCAAAGACTGATAACGGTCGTTATTATTAATAGAATTCTCTTGCTTCAATCGTGAAAAGAATGCACAATGATAAATATCTCCACCTTATTTTTTCAAATGTCTACTACCGAATTGACTTTTTTCATCGAAAAAACACATGCGATACGAACGGGAAATAATTAAAGTTTTGAGAACTTTTTTATTAAATTAAAATAAAAAATAATACAATATTAGAAACTATATCAAGAATAAAAATATATTTTTTTAATATTTAAAACTGTGATTCACAAACAAATGGTCCACGTGTAAATAAAATTCGTTTGTTCTCATGAATGAAAGAGAATTAAACAACGAATCGACAGTAAACAAATTATTGAACAAATAATAACCACATTTAAAAATAAGTAAAGCCTTCAACTGTTTTGTTCCACCATGTTTCATATTAGACAGTATAAATAAAGTGAAACTTCTGAAACCAGGACAATGAGAAAAATAATTGCTCAAAAAGCGATATTTTTCAGGCGGTTTACCTCAAAACAAATTTCATATACGAGTATTTCAAATAGTAATTTTTTCAATTTAAACCCTACAATAACGAACTGGAATATTTTCGGCGCCTCAAATTTTTAAAACTTGCAAAATTCATGGATTTCGCAACTAATATCCGTTTACCCTTCAGTAGTTTCATGATTTTACGTATACAGCATGCTCACAAATTGCTACAGTGATGCAGCAATCCCCGAAAGAGAAAAACGACATTTCTCAGTGTGGGTGTTCCACTGTACTAAACACGTTTTTTTCAAGATTCGTAATCATTTATTTAGTTTTTGTTTAACTTAACTTAATATAACATATTATAATATTACATAACACAGCATCATATAACCTAACCTAGCTTTACCTACCCTAATCTAACTTTAACTAATGTGTATATGCTGAAAATAGCTTCATAGTCTGCTCAAGAGAAATAATTTTGCCATTGTTGTAGTCTCATAGCTGAACCCAAATATTTCAACATTATGTATAAATGTTATATTTGACAAATGGTATATTACTTTTCACCAAATCAGAAATATAAGTTGGAATTTGATGACAAAAGAAGTTTCTGCTGGAAAAATAACAGAAACTACTTAAAGATTTGCTTGAATTGAAAAATTTCAACACAGTCAACCAATGAAGCATTCCACAAATAGATGATATCACGTCATACAGAACAAATGCAATTTATAGAAGGGTAAACTTACTCGAAAATTTTAACACTATGTTGATTTACTTTTCAAGGTAAACAGTACTTCATTCGATCTGATAGGGCTCGCCGTCGTGAAGCAGTTTCCGTGAATATTGCAAAGGCAGTTCAGAATTTTTTAACTTCAAGATAACAATGAATAAACAGGTAGAAATCATTTCACCTACACTAAACGTTTGAAATACGGATGTAAAGTAATTTCTATTTAAATTTTTTAGGTAAGAAGGATCGACACTTCGAAGAAAACAAAATGTTCGTGTCTGACAAACAGCGTATCCAATGTAATTGGTCGACTTGGTGTAATAATTAGTCGATATCCCCTCTATTTTGTCATTGTTCCTGTCATTCTCTCCGGTTTATTATCAATCGGACTTATCAAAATTCAAACCAATGACGACACCGATTTTCTCTTAACTGCAGACAGGGGCAAATATTTTGATGCCAAACAGTTTATAGATAAGACATTCCATACCGATTCAGGTAGCTTCGATTTTTTACGACTTACTAAACGCCCGCTTTTTCCAATGATCTACATAGTAAATGACAGAGAAGGAAACATTTTACGCAAAGAATTTTTAGACGAAATATAAATTGTAGATCAGGTTGTAAAAAATACCACAGCTTTTGTAGATGGAAAGAATATTGCTTACTCGGATGTGTGCAATAGTGTAGACGGCAAGTGTTCAGAAAATACTCTCATTGATCTGCTAAACAACTCCGAAAATACTATTCATGAAATATTAAAAATGAAGTATCCCGTTAATATGGATCCTGTAACATACGCGTACAAAATCCTTTGTTCGAATTTAGGAGGGGTGACGACAGACGACAAAGGATACATAATTGAAGCAAAAGCCGTTCGTTTAATGTATCCGACAGACGAATTGAATGCAAGTAAGAAGCTGTGGAATGAAGAATGGAAAAAAGCAGTTTACAACAAGTTAAGAGATTATACTTTCGAGCATATTAAAACATTTCCTGAACCAATCGAGTCTTCCATTTCTGAACTAAAACGCATTTCACAGGAATTAGTGTCTTTGATTAGCGTGGCTGTGGTCGTCGTTGCTATTTTCTCCATGGTGACGAATATGACTAACAATTGGGTAAAATCTAAACCCTGGTTAGGCGTAGCTAGTGTCGTGTCCGCCGGTTTGGCTGTAGCCACGACGTTTGGTTTATTATCCGCCTGTGGAGTAGCAAATCTTAGGTGGAACGTCACCCTTCCTTTCATGATTCTTGGTAAGCTAAACCATAATATACTTGCAAATACTGATAAATTTTGCTTTATCTATTTTTATTACTTTGATATATTAAAGCTACGGAAGTGGACGACTCGTTTGTCGTATTGGCTTGTTGGAAGGTGACAGACTGCAGTGACAGCGTGGAAAAGCGAATGGAACAGACGTATCGCAACGCTGCAGTGTCCATCACCATAACGTCTCTAACGAATTTCTTCGCCTATTGCATTGCCATGACGTCACCATTTCCGGGTATTAGAATATTCTGTTTGTATGCTGCAACGTGCATCTTCTTCAGTTATTTCTTTCAGTTATTATTTTTCGGCGGATGTCTAGCATTAAGTGGATACAGAGAAGAGAAGGGTCTTCATCCTTTCACATTTAAATCAGCTTTTGGTAAAAATTTTAAACTTATTAACGTGTATTAGTTATTTTGTTTATAGATTTTTTAATAATAGTTTAAGTTTAAACTCTATTGTCCTAAACATATATTTTAATGACAGGGCATTTCTCTTCAAAGATAGAGACTTTCTTAAATAGATTATAATTATTGATGACTTTGTTGAAAATTGGAAATTATGAAAATAGTTAACATTATGTTTTAATTGTTTTAATTATAACTTTTTTTATTTATTTTTTAACTGCGGAAACGTAATAACTAAAAGTTATTTAATTTTGAACGTTATGATTTTTTAGTAAATGTGACAACATACAGAAAACAATTGATTTTCATAATACGTACTTTTTGGTTCTGTTATACGTTGTATATAACAAAGGAATAGCATGGCCATCGATAGATCGAAAAACGACATTATAAAATGTTTATACTTTTCGACTCAGGAAACTTTGAAACGTGGAGCAATGCAAAAAAGTCGAGTTGTTTTTTATATATGGTTGACAGCGTATGTTAGGAAAGGATTATTTTAATATTATTTGAAACTGACAACTCCCGTTCTTTCTGACGAAAATGTTTTAAATATTGTAAAAAGGTTTAAGTATTTGAAGGATTGATGGCAGTAATTTTTTATTAGAGGTCTAGGGGTGAGGAAATTGATGAATTCATACAGCATGTCTGGAGTTGTTCGTGCTTAAAGACGAATTTAGTCGTTATTATAATGTACAATATTTTTATAAAACTTTTTCCTACACTAAAAATTCAGCTTTTCTTCACTTTATAATAATTAATGATAAAAAAATTTTATAACAAAAAATAATAACAGAGCGCGTTACGTTTATTTTTAAATGATACCGAAAAAGTTAAGCAACTCGTTGCCGGATTTTTTTATAGTTTTCACTATGAATGTTGCATTTTAATTAATGATGTTATTTAAATAGAACAGAAAGCATAGTAAAGTAAGAAAACGAAAAATTTTTGCAGCCCTTACACTCTTTACATCTGTCATTTATCAGTATAACAAGACAGAGAAGGCGTATTCTAATGTCATGTATTTAATGTTATCGTTTTCATGCGTTCGTTTCTGCCTAAAATAAATACAACAGGACAGGTGTTTGTTTCATTTAAACGATGAGTCAATAGACTATCTAAACTAATCTGGTCTCATCTTATGTTCTGGATTGTGAAAAGATTTAGTAACAGAATCCCAAACAACTGTCAAAGTACGTATCAAAAAATGATATAAAACTTCATATAAAATCTGTATTATTAAATTTTTACAATTAAGACTAAGTCAATAACGCGTGTAGTTTGAGTAGAACTAAGAGAAAATTCGGTTTTCTTATCACCATTTGTACTGTTTGAATTTATATTTCGAGAATGTTGCCAGAAATTTGTTTTCATCCTCTGCTAGATTGTGAGATCCAGTAATCGACAACTTTCAAAGAGGCTTTTGTTACAGTGAACAATGGATACAGGCGTACAATTTTTTTGTTTATAAATCAAACACTATATTATAATATACCGGAAATGTTAGAAGTACGAAAGAATCTAATAATCTTAATGTTTCTCGTTATTTTTGCTCATCTATATAGTTTTCTATATAGTGTTTTGAAAAATTTCGCTTCATGATTCGAAATTCATTTACATAATTTTTAATTCAAAATTTTCATTTCATTACTATATTTATATTCTAAAAAGATATATAGTGAATATGAAGAATATGTAGGACTAGATACTATTAAATCTTTAATTTACAGTTGTCATTATAACGAATATTCGTAACTAATGTGATATTCAACGTTCAATATTATAGGTTTTCAATTATTTTTATTTCTATGTTAAGTTATTGCTGTTATACTTTTTTGCTCCGATATTGGTTACTTATCCTTGTTTAGAAATAAGAATCGTTATAATAGTGTAGTTTCTGATTAGCAAAGGGAGAAAATCTGAGTCGAAAAGATTTTGCTAATCAGAAACTACACCAGGAAAAAAAGGCTACGTCCTATGTGGCAGCATTCAGCGACCGCGTACGTAAACGCGCTTCCAAGCGAAGCGGACAAACCGGTTCAAGCAAATGGTGTGTCCTACAGTGGCTAGAAAATATAGTGTCGAAAGCGCTTATATTCCTCCATTATAACCGTTCGGTCCATACATCGAGGTTAGTGACGTCACAGACAAGGTGGCGCTGATGTCAATCGTAGTGCTACTTTCGCTTTGGCTACGTGATATTCTTACTTACAAGAACATCGAAAGCGATTAAATTTGTGCTTGTAAAGTGAATAAATCCTTAGGAAATGGCTGAACAGAAACTTTACTGACTTGTGTATTTCTAATTTATAGATATTACTCTACTGTAATTTTTAATTCTTTTATTTTTGTCGAAAAGGGTGAGAAATCTACATGCATATTAATCTGTAATTTTTTAAGAGAGATTTTTCAAATATAAAGTGTATATGCATGGGTACTTGGCAGTAGACTAATAATCGTTTATTTGTACATACTTAATTTTGTAATTTTATATTGGGACAATAAAGTAACATTCTGCCTTTATATTTTATATACTGTGTAGAATTTAATTGTAATTTTAATATTGCTTTATACTATGTCACATAATACTGTGAACAGTATACAGTATTATGTAACTGATGGCATTTGCTTAATAAATTCTATTTTAGGCCCTCACAGTGGAAGAGGTTCACAAAGCCATATAAAACTTACATTTTATTATTAAAAATATGATAAATTCTGTATTTTTTTAGTAAATATGAATAAACCTTGTTGTTAATAAGGTAATAACAAGAGTAGATTACTCTTGTACTCTAAATAATACTTGTTTGTACAGCACTCAACAGCTGTAATGTAAAAATAGACAATACAGTGTAGGCTATTTGATTTAATAAGAATCTTAATTAGCTTTAATAAAATGAATTCCTTCATAAATGTTAATAAAGTAATACTATATAATAATTGATTGCTAGTGATATGATTTATTATCGATCTAAATTCTTTTACTTGGCTACAGCACATTTACTATGCTTAAAAATCCCACTTAAAACCAATATAAACATAGGATGATACAGCCAGTGTAGCACAACGATTGACAGCAGCGCCTCTTGCGGCAACCTCCAATATAGGGACAGAAAATAAGCTCGATTTCGACACTATATTTTCTAGCCACTGTAGTGTGTCCGTAGAAACAACGTTTAGCGTGTAGCGACAACCAGATGACGCTTCTACACACGCGTGCAGGAAGCAGCTACCAAGCCAGGTTGATAGCCACTTCCACTGCTCGCGCGTCCAACGAAGAAAAAGGCTGATTTTAAGATGAATGTAAACAGAATGACAAATAAATTGTGTATATATGCTGTAGGTACTTTCATTAATAAACTTTTATGTAATTTAATAATTTCTTATTTTGTTGAAAAAAAATAAAATTTTTTAAAATTTATTATTCTATAAACATTCTTTATATTTTTTTGTATCTAGTTAGTGACAACAATTAACTGTTGAATTTACCGTTTTAATCCTTTTCATATTTTTTTTTTGATTCTGATGAAACCGTGTTGTTGTTATTAAGCTGTTTCTTTGCAGACACACTAAGGTGACATATATCAACACTTGGCAACTTATTGACTATTTATTCAGTTGGGACGCCTTTTACATTACGCGTTTCGGGCATTGGCCCCTCTTCAGCCAACTAGACATAAAAAATAAAACATAAGAAAATTTGTACAAAAATACGCGAGTAGATAAACTGTTTTTTTAAAAAAATTTTTTAAAAACATACCATAAAACACAAACCACTATTGTACAGATGTCGAACAGGATGGACAATTTCATATTTCATATACAACTTGGATAACAAACAAGGTCGACGATAATCATTGGAGAACAAACAGGGTCGTAGATAGCAGCTTGACTACTGGGCTTTTAAATATGGCTTTCTTATAATTTACACAAAATTCAAATAAATAGATTGACAATTACAACATATCTTAACAATATTTGTTTTTACCTGTGGTTGATATTCGCATATTACACCGAAATTCATTCGATATTAGTTGTCGCCCTTTCTTTCCGAACAAAATTTCACAAAGTCATCTTAGCAATATTATCCAAACTGCCAATTTACATAGAACATACTTAAAGCAATTACATTAATTGTACAAACTAGTAATTATTATTTGTATTACTTACAATTCATAAAGACATACGATTTAAGTTGTAGCTTTTGGTTAAACCGCTCCTGTGTGCAA